TGGTTCAACATACACAAGTACGGTGATATACCATATTAACAAACGATAAAAACCACACACCCATCATAAACAGATGCAGAAAAAAAGGTCATTATTCAACACTCTTGAATGGCAAAAGACTTTCAACAAACTAGTTTTGAGAGAATTTACCTCAACATAATAAAGGACATTCATGAAAAGCTCACAGATGACATCATACTCAACAGTGAAAAACTGAACGCTTTTCCACTAAGATGGGGAACAAGGCAAGAATGCCCACTGCGTCACTTCTATTCACCGGAGTATTAGCAGTCTTAACCAGACCAACAGTAAAGAGAAAGAAACAAAAGGCACCTAAATCAGAAAGAAAGTAGTAAAATTATGTCTGTTTATGGATGGAATAATCTTATATTTGGAAACCCTAAAGGCTTCACCAGAAAGCAATTAGAAATAATAACATGAATTCAGTAAAGTTTCAGGATACAAATTTAGCACTAAAAAATCAGCTGCATTTTAATACATTAATAATAAATTATCCAAAATTAAGAAAAAAATCCCATTTACTAAGTATTAAAAAGAATAAAATACACTTAGACAAAGAGGTAAAAACTTGTACATTTAAAACCACAAATCATTCATGAAAGAAATTAAAGACAAATAAATGGAAAGACATCACATGTTCATAGATGGGAAGACTTAATATTGTTAAAATGCCAAAGCCATCTATAGATCCAATGTAATCCCTATCAATATCCCAATGTCATTTTTTACAAAAATTAAAAAATAATCATGAATTTCATACTGAACCACAAAGACTGACTGTACAGAGAAGAACAATGCTGGAGGCATCACAATTCCTGATTTCAAAATATATTCTAAAGCTACAATAATTAAAACAGTATGGTACTGACATAAAAACAGACATAGAGACCAAAGGAAAAGAACAGAGAACCCAGAAATCAACCCAAGCATTTGGGTCAAATGATCTTCAACAAGGATGCCAAGAATATACAATGGAGAAAAGATGATAGTCTCTTCAATAAATGGAATAGGGAAAACTGAATACCACATGAAAAAGAATGTAATTGAAACCATACCTTACACCATATACAAAATCAACTCAAAATGTATTACAAATTTAAATGTGTAAGACCTAGAACTGTAAAATTCCTAGTATAAAAACATAGGGGAAAAACTTCATGATATTAGGCCTGGTGGCGGTTTTATAGACATGCCATTAAAACCACAAGCAATAAAAGCAAAGTTAGATAAGTGGGACTACATCAACCTAAAAAGCCTCTGCACAGCAAGAGAAAAAAATCAACAGGGCAAAAAGGCAACCTATGGAATAGTAGAAAATATTTGCTAGCCATATATCTGATTTGTTATTAATATCTAAGATATATAAGGAACACTTACAACTCAAAGCAAAAACAAATACAAATAACCTGATTTAAAAATGTGTGAAAGAGCCCTGGCTGGTTTGGCTCAGTGGTTAGAGTGTCGGCCTGTGGTCCAGAGAGACTGGGGTTTGGTTCCAGCTAAGGAGGCATACCTTGGTTGCAGTTTGTCCCCGGCCCTGGTTGGTCATGCAGGTGGCAGCCACTCAATGTGTCCCTTTTACGTCAATGTTTCTCTCTCTCTCTCTTCCTCTCTCTCCCTCCCACTCTATCTGAACAAAAAGTGGAAGAATGTCCTCGGGTGAGGATTGAAAAAAAAAAAAAAATGGGTGAAAGAGTCCAGCCAGTGTGGCTCAGTGGTTGAGCAAAGACCCATACACCAAGAGATCACTGGTGCAATTCCTGGTCAGGGCACATGTCCAGGTTGTGGGTCCGATCCCCAGTAGGGGGCATGCAGGAGTTGGTCAATCAATGTTCTCTCTCATCGATATTTCTATCTCTCTCCCTCTCACTTTCTCTCTCTGTAAAATCAATAAAGGGGGGAAAATGGGTGAAAGACATAAATAGACATTTCTCAAAAAAACATATACAAATGGCCAGCAGGTATATAAAAAAAATACTAAACATGACTAATTATCAACAACCAATCATGCAAATCAAAACCACAATGAGATATCACCTCACATCTGTTGGGATGTCTTTGAAAAATAAAAAGAGCCCTGGCGAGTTTGGCTCAGCAGTTAGAGCATTGGTCCGCAGACCGGAGAGTCCCGGGTTTAGTTCCCACTTAGGAATTGTACCTCGGTTGCAGTTTGTCCCCAGCCCCGGTTTGGGTCGTGTGGGTGGCAACCAGTCGATGTGTCTCTTTCACATAGATGTTTCTCTCTCTCTTCCCCCCTCTTTTCTTCCAGCTCTATCTGAAGATAATGCAAAAATGTCCTTGGGTGAGGATTAAAAAAAAAAAAAAAAGATAAGTGTTGGCAAAGATATGGAGAAATTGGTACCCTTGTACACTATTGGTAGGTATGTAAAATGGTGCAGCCACTATGGAAAAGAAGATAGAGGTTCCTCAAAAAGTTAAAAATACAATTACAATATGATCCAGCAGACTTACTTTTGGGTAAATATCCAAATGAATTGAAATCAGAATCTTGAAGAGATATAGGTACCTCCACGTTCATTGCAGCGTTATTCACAATAACCAAGATATAGAAGCAACTGAAGTAGCCAATGTCGGATGAATGCATAAAGAGAAGTGGCATATGCTTACAGTGGGTTATTCAGCCTCAGGTTAGTGTGTAAAGGAAACTTCCAGGTCTTATTTAAATCAGTGTCTGTGAGTACAGAAAGATTAGGTCACTTTCTGTTTCTAAAGAGGCACCCATCCCTCTCCAATTAGTGCTTTTTTGCACCCTAGATTTGCAACTCAATCTTCTCAAAATAATTTTTTAAAGTATGCATTACATAGCCAGTAAGATACACTGTACAAAGAGCAGTGCATCTTAGACACCAAGTTGCTTTTTTTTTTTTTTTATCATCCTCACCCGAGGACATTTTTCCGTTCTTTGTTCAGGTAGAGTGGGAGGGAGAGAGAGGAACAGAGAGAGAGAGAAACATCAATGTGAAAGGGACACATCGAGTGGTCGCCACCCACACAACCAACCAGGGCCGGGGACAAACTGCAACCGAGGTACGTGCCCTTAGCGGGAACCAAACCAGGGTCTCTCCGGACCGCAGGCCGATGCTCTACCGCTGAGCCAAACCGGCCAGGGCCCAAGTTGCTTTTTATAACAGTGATTATAAGAGTTACCCTCTGCTCCCTAACTCTTTTGTCCTTTGCCCCTGTTCTGCCAGAGCCTAATTTTGCTTTTCATCAATAGCCTTGCCTCATTGTTTATTACCTTCCTGTACTCCTCTCTTCTGCCCCTGCCATCTCCTCCATGAATTAAAAAAAAAAAAAAAACTTTTTAGAAAAGCAAGAAGTGAAAACACTCTTCCTCACTCTTCACCAGTTGAGCAGAAGCATTTGACACTGACCTTTTTAAATGGAAAATGCTCAGAACAGGGACCTAGAAGGTCTCCATGGCTACTGTAAGTCCAGCACACCTCATACTGTGAGCTTCCACTGCTTAAATTAACCAACAACCCTCACTGCAAAAGATTAAAAACCAGGTCAATCTACAAGTTAAACATTTATATTTGTGCCATCTAAGGAGATTTTAATGAAACATTTGGAAAACTGCAAGTACTGAGCAACTCTAGCTGGAGGCCAGGGTGCGGTCTCTTGACAGGTGGCTCTGATGACTTAGAAAAGGAAACCATAGCAATTGGCAACAATTCATGGGCTTTTGACTTTCAGCTGAAAACCAAAACCACTTTCCAAGAGGACAAATGTTTATAAAATATTCTTTTCAGAGTCAAATGTGCAATTTCCTCACCCTCCTTAAAACATTAAACTTTCAATGGAAAGAATGAAGTCAAAAGCCCATGAATTGTCGCCAATTGCTATGGTTTCCTTTTTAAGTCATCAGAGCCACCTGTCAAGAGACCTTGGCCTCCAGACCAGGGCAGGCTTTTCAAACTGCCTACCCTGTCTCAAATAAGCATTACCATAAAGACTGGTTCGTATTACACTCGTTGAAAGGGGCTTAAAACGCTGGTGATAGTGAACCAACATTATTTCAACAGTTTTATCAGACACATTTGAAGCATAAATGCTGAGCCAAATTATAAGGGGTTGAGTCAAGCTCATGATGTATGAGATAGCACTTCCCTCAGATCAACCCGTCTCCCCTTCCATCTGACGCTAGCTCTCTTTTAAATTCAAGAAAATTCTCCACCCTGCAAAAACCTGGCGTTCTCTCGGGTCCCTTTACACTTTATTCACACTAGAAATGCTGAATCATGACTCCGAGGTTGTAAAAGAAAAACTATTTCGACTGGGACGCCAGGATCCCCGGAGGATCCCACGCTTCTGCATTCCTTTGCGTTGCACCTTTTAAAGTCTAAATCGGGGCCCTTTCACCAGACTGGTGAGGTTCCGGGAGCAGCCAAGGCTGCGGGTAGAGAAAGACCCTCTGTTCGCTCTCCTGCTCCTCCCCAAAACTCACGCAGCCCTGGCCGATTGGGGCTCCCGCCTCATCTCCTCGGAACGTGACCCCTAAGGGACTGATATACTCTCCATTTGCAAAGCTGCCCAGCAGCCTCCCAAGAAATTCCCAACTTGGAAGCATCACCACCACAGCCACCCGTACGGAGCTCCCTGGGCCCGCACTGGTCTCGCTTGACCGCGATCCGGCAGGGGTGGGGGGTGCCGAGACAGCTCCTCCAGCCCGCCTCCCAGCTCTGGTCCGATAGACGAACCCGCCGCGAGCGCAGATTCTTGAGAAACTCGATCCCAACTCCCCAGCCCGCGCCTCCCGAGCCGCCTGGGAGCCCGGAGAAGCGGGGCCGAGCTCCACCGGGCAGAGTGGCGTGGACAGCCCAGGGAGGAGGGAGGCATGGAGGGCAAGGGGCAGCAAAAAAGGAAACGCCCCCCAAGCCAGTCCCGCAACTTCTCCCAGCCCAGCTTGGTAAGTGAGGAGAAGCGGCGGCGGCTGCGAGAGCGAGGTGAGCACTCACTTGAAGGTGAGGACGCAGAGCGGCCGGTAGGACTTGTGGCTGGTGTTCTCGGCCATGCCCTTGCCCCAGAAGTCGTTAGTGAAGATGCTCCAGCGGAGCGGGGTGCCGGGCCGCAAGTCGGGGTTGTTCACGATCGCCCACACGTCGTCGTGCACGAACTCGCCCTGCAGCGAGCGGCCGTAGCACAGGCAGCTCGCCCCGGCCAGCAGCGCCGCGGCACCGGCCGGCGCGAGTCCGCAGTCCCGCCGCCGGGAGGGCGCGCGGTCCCCGCCGCCGCCTCGGGCAGAGCTTGTCACCACCATTGCGCCGCCACCGCTGTCCTGGCCTCTCTCGGGCGTCTGGCATCCTCCCCGACCGGGGCCCCGGCGGCGCACGGCAGCTGCCTGGAGGTGGGCTCGGGCATGATGCGGCGGACACTGGACCTGCCGCTGGCGCCCCGCGCTCCGACGCCGCCTGCGCCTCTGAGTTGGCCCAGCTGCAAATAAACAGCAGTCCCCCCGCCTCCCTCGGCCATCGCCACCTCCTCCGCACCACTGCGCATGCCCCGCTCGCTCTAGCCTCCACCACCACCCCCCATCCCGGGACTAGAGCCGCACACACCCCACCACCCACCGCCCGAGCCAGACTCGCCGCCGCGGTCCGTCCCTAGGTGCTGCGTCCCCAGGCGGCGAGAGTTCGCACGCAGGTGGAGGGGGTCGTGGCGCAGAGCTGCCCGGAGAGGCGGGGTCCCGCCTGCCCTGCCCGGCTGTGCTCACTCCATCCCCTTTTCTCCCTCACCTACCGGGGCTGGGGGGACCTCATCTGGCGGGCACTTCGGGCCCGGGGCCAGGGAGGGCTTAGCTGGGGCGCGGCCCGAAACCCCATACCGCTCTCTCAGAGAGAAAAGTGGCCCCTGCCTCCCGGTAAGTTCCCGGTTTTTCAGCACCCCGGACAACAGCAGCGGTGGCGACGCCGGGGACACGCTCTCCCGCCCCGCGCCCGCGCCCGCGTCCCGTCGCCCTCTCCGCAGCCCCTTCCCGGGCCTTTCTGTCCCTCACCGGGCGCGGCGTCCCGCGGTGGCAGCCTCGGGTGGAGGAGACCGCGGGCAAATGGAGCTTCCCAAGCACCTTTCCGAAAACCACGAGAAAGGGTCTCCCTGGCCGTGGGCGTCCTGCCCGTCCTGCCCCATTTGCCCAGAGGCACCACTGACAGTTTCCCTGCACCCTGGATTGGTGTTATAAAAAGTCCTAAATTCGATCTTTGGTTTGGGTCTAGACCCTGAATTGGCTTCTAAAACATTTCTCCTCCTTTTTTTTTGTTTGTTTGTTTTTGGTTTTGGTTTTTAACTGAAACTCTTGAGCTAATACGAGAGATGCCAAGCAAATTACTTTTTCTTCCCATCTGAGCTTATCACTTGGATCTGATTATTCTGGGCTGTGGGCGTGTTTGTACTGTTCCTGCTAAATCAATAGATTAAAAAAAAAAAATGCGTCAAGGCCTCTGGCTTTTGCTCCCGATCTTCCTGGTTTTATAAAAGGTGGTTTTCTTTAAAAAAAAAAAAAAAAAAAAATGCTAATTATGCCCTGCCTGTGTGGCTCGGTTGAGTGAGGACCCATGCACCAAGAGGTCATGGGTTAGATTCCTGGTCAGGGCACATGCCCAGTTTGTGGCCCCATCCCCAATGGGGGGGTGTGCAGGAGGCGGCCAACTGATAGTCTCTCTCAGGGATGTTTCTGTCTCTCTCTCCCTCTCCCTTCTTCTCTCTCTAAAAATCAAGAAAGAAAAAATATTTTTCATACTAATTATAATATGTATATAAGTTAGGTGATGATTACTAGAAGATCACCAGGTTTGAAAAATCTGTTAACACTTTGAGGCCCCTTGTAAATTTTCACTGAGGTGTGTTATTGAAGTTACGGGGAATTTGAAGTATCCAGACAGAAAAACTTAAAATACAAAATTCACCATTTTATTTCCATCCTTCCAAAATCCTTAAAAGTTTCATACATCTGGAAAATAGTAAAATAAAAGACAGACATCGTTCTTATACTGGCTAAGCATTTGTGTGACTCTTTACTACACTAATTTATTTATTTATTTATTTATTTAATTTAAAGATATATCTGAACAGTTGAAAACTCAATGAATTAAGACAAATATATTCCAGGGCAGGATGCATCTCATCCATTGCACTTTGTTTTTTTGGTGACTTGAAAATTAGTGACTGAAGAAATGTTTTTATCCTTGCATCAAAACTGTTGGTAGCTTTCATATCAGACTCACTCACACCTGAACACACTACAGCCTTTCTCTTTGCCTGCCATTAATTTAATAAAAATATATGAAGGGTATACTTCATGCCACAATGTGCTAAATACTGGACTGGGTGACCAAAGTTGCTCAAAGTGTGTGTGTGTGTGTGTGTGTGTGTGTGTGTGTGTGTGTGTGTGTAAGGTAAATGCCATAAAAGTCTGACTTTCTAAGTAAACAGCTGAGTAGATAGTGAAATTGTCCTTGCTGAAATGATAGCATTTATAATAGGCCAATGTATCAATCCTTACCCATAATTAATAAGGCCTTTCTAGAGACAATGTCTTACTCCCAAAGAGTAACTCTAATAATAGATTTTTATAGACAGCAGAACTTTTCTCCCTCAAATCACCCTTAACTCACTTATAGGAAGCACAGCCCTGCCCACCCCCTTCTTATCTGAGGTGTTTTTTGTTGTTTTTAAATGAAAACAGTATCCGAGTCCTGGGAAGAAGAGAATAAGGACCACAGTGGGACTCCAAAAAGAAATAGAAAGAGGACAACATAAGGGAATTCTCTAAGACGGTTTCCAGATTTCTGAGCACAGAGAGTTCATTAAGCTCTCCTCTAAGTTCAGTGGCTATTTCAATTCTAGTTCAGATGAGGAATTTTGGATTAATTTCCTTGAAAATAATGAGACACTTCATGTCCTTTTAAGGACAAATAAGTAAATAGTTTTTGAAATTCAACATGTCCTTTGCAGCTCCACCATCTCTGATTCAATACTGCTCAGAGTTACAGGGAAATACTGTAAAAGTGTTCGTGTCAGGTTTACATTGCTGTCAGCCCATCATCCCATCTGCTTCTCTCTTAAGGTGTAAAACACTCATCTTGACTAATTAAGAGGCCCAAAAGGAAATTAGATTTAATTCTTGTTACTTAGACTCTGATTATTTTTAAAGGGTTTATAATTAGGGCAGTACTACCTTCTAAGATACCTTTTGTCCACTCAGAGCAATTTAAAACATAAATTATCACCGAAGTGCCTCTCTGAGGCTCATACAGATTAAGTCACTTGTGCAAATTAAAATGGACCAGATTCCTGAAAGAAATGAGGGCACAGCTAAAAATAAATCAAGGGCAAGTAGGTATTTTAATAAAACAAATTTCAAATTACTGCTCTACCCTTTTTCAGCATTATACATCTGTTCAGATACACCCTATATATAGGAACAAATGCAATGTTACAAAGGCAGAAATTCAGGAAAAGGGCTGATAACATAATTTACATTAAAAATAAGTTTTTTTTTGCCTGGCCAGTGTGGCTCAGTGGTTGAGCGTTGGTTGACCCATGCATCAAATGGTCCCCAGTTCAATTGCCCTCAGGGCACATGCCCAGGTTGTGGGCCCCATCCCCAGTGTGGGGCATGCAGGAAGTGGCCAATAGATGTTTCTATCTCTCTCCCTCCCCCTTCCTCTCTCTCTGAAAATCAATAAAGCAAAAGAATAAAAATAAAATAAGTTTTTGTTGTTTAGTTATTTAACTATTATCTGTTGTTGAATAAAATACAAAAAAAAACTAGAAAGAACAGAAAATTAAAATATACTTACCCCACCACCCCATGGGATCTATCATAGGACAGGCAACCTGCACTCTAAGAAGCTGTTTTAGAACCTATTAAAGCAAGTGAGGGACAGTCTGGGGTGCCACGTGGTCCGAGGGATGGCTGTGCCCAGACCTGTATACAGCGTGGTGACAGGAGGCACAGGAGAGAAGACGGGTGCCTCATGGAGGTGCACTGGTCTCCCCCTCCTCCCCCAGAGCGCCATCTCTGTGGCATCTGCCCAGAATTAAATAAAAGATGGTCAAAAACTGATTGTGATCTTGCAATTTCTGGCTCGCAGGCAATAAACTTGGTCAGCAAATGACTACAGGATAAAAGTATACACATGGCATTGCAATAAAGTATACCAAGTGCTTACTAGATTTCTTCCAACCGTGTAGAATCTCTGGTTTGGAAAATTGCAGCTACATTGCAAAGCAACTGTCCACAGTCTTAGACACAGAAATTAAAATTTAAGATTATATACAACAGAAAAACAATATTTTCATATAAATGAAATTTTAATTGCATACATCTTTGTTTTACGTTTTAATTATATACAAAACATAATGCCACTTCTAATGTTTGCACAGCCTCCACAACTTACAGAAAATGTCAGGGTAACACTAAAAATGCCATTGTGTAAATTTACAATTAAAATTAAATTCAGACTTATAGCAAACTGACTTGTATAAAGTTAAATCTTCTGAGAAAAAGCATTCCCTCAGAATCATCAGCTCTAGAAGTAATGTGATTTATATTTTGAAATAATTTATCAGAACTAGATCCCAATGTCACAGCCAACTCTTAACAGCTCCAGTGTGAGATCGGCAGAACAAATGCTTCTCAAAATTAAAGAGTATCACAAAAACGTCCTGATTCATAGCACTTCTTAGATTTTATTGTGTAAACATTCTTACAATGGTCAATTTCATGCTCCCACTGTGATGTCACTTAACACAGAGAGGAGAAGTGATGCATAGTAGCATTATCATTCCACATTATTTTCATCCTACAGACATAGTAGCTGCAAATTAGATTAAGAGCATAGTAATAGCAAAATACAATAAATAATTGGAAAATGAGTTTTGAGCCTACGTTATTATTGTTTAATCTAATTTATATAATTATAAGTTTATATAACTTTTTTTAAAATCATGGCTGTATTTAAAAACCACTTCACAAAATTCCTAAAAATTTAACGATCAGGTTCTGTGAGCTGGTTATGAGTAGACTCTAGCACACTATCAGATGAAATAAGATCGGCCATTATTGACATTATCATTTTGAATTTGAGTGATAAATAAGAGCAGGGAGGGGCAGGGGGGGTCATTAGACTTCTATAGTGAAGAATTGACCTTATCTTGAGAGCAGTCTGATCATTGCCCTTGGCTACTGGGAGATAATATCTAAACCCCTGGAATGTCCTGCCTGACAAAGTGTCTTTGTTTGCTGGGGACTCTGGCCAC